GCCTCCCTAACCTGTTCTTCCTCCCACCTATCCCCTCCTCCCACCTCAAGCCGCACCTCCATCTCCTACCGACCAACCTCATCCCGCCCCCTTGACCTGTCCGTCCTCCCTGGACTGACCTATCCCCTTCCTAACTCCCTACCTACACTCACCTTTCCTGGCCCCATCCCCGCCTCTTCGACCTGTTTGTTTCCTCTCCACCTATCCTCTCCTCTATCCCTCTTCTATCCGCCTCCCACTCTCTCCCTATTTATTTCAAAACCCCCTTCCCCTCCCCCTTTTCTGATGAAGGGTCTAGGCCCGAAACGTCAGCCTCTCTGCTCCTATGATGCTGCTTGGCCTGCTGTGTTCATCCAGCCCTGCACCTTGTTGTCTCGGATTCTCCAGCATCTGCAGTTCCTACTAAATCTCAACATCCTGCTAGCTAACTTTGATGAGAGCTCATTGACATGAAGAGTTAATGCATCCACAGATGCTGTCTGACCAGCTGAGGGTCCTCCTGCATTTTCTGACTGCTCCCATTGCACTATATTCATGCAGAAGGAATCGGGTGCAAAATGAAAACGAATCAGCAAATGTCACATCTTAGTTCCGGACTGGCCCCGTGAGTTCACACACTCTATCAATGACGCGCCCAAGTTTAGATCTCTCGGTAAATGATTGCCGTTTAAAACACTTTTCCTTGCCCTTTCCTACCATCGACTCCGACAGCAGCAGAATTACAGTAAGGTGACTTTGCGTAGTTTTGCTTTCTCTACTATATAATGCACTAATATTTTCCATTTTATTGAATTTTATTTCTCTTGTGGCCCTGAGAGCAGGAAAGCCCCCGATAGTTTGTCTTAGCGAGAAGTTAACCGAGACGCCGCAGAATGTTTCCAGGTGTCCTGGGCTGAGAAATGTGCTCTGTGCTGTTCACAAGAAAGTAACAGTGGTCTTGTGCAAGGATTGAGCAGTAAATGACGGAGATTGACGTCAGCTGAGAGAGCACCAAGTTATAGATAAGGGTCATCCGGTGCTAGCCCTACTTCCTCTTTCTTCTGTGTTGTGAGGTTTCTAAAATCTTACTGTGGTAAATCTGCCATGTGTATGTGTGTGTCTCTGGAGGAAATTGCCAGTTCCTGTTCAACATATAACTCTGTTCCATGAAATTTGATGAGATTATCAGGAACTGACATTTCGTTGTTCAGCAGTGGAAGGATAGGGTAATTCTATATGAGCCTTTCGAGAAATGAAACAGGTTCTTTTTTTCTCTCCCTCTCTCTCACTCAGTAGAAATTACAACGATCAGAGCTGCATTCTGTGTCAAAAGCTTAAGAAGATATAATACTTCCTTTGCAGAGTCAGGTCCCCTTCCTGCACTTCTTCTCAAGTTTATTTTAGTGCCAATTTGGACTGCAAGCACACCCTGCATTTTCTCAGGATTGTCTTTCTGACTCCCCTGAACTAATTTCACTCTGCGAATTAAAATAGGATCATTTGGATAGAATATAGTGTACAGTTACAGTGTAGAAGGAGATGATTAAACCCATTGTATTTGTAAAATAATGATCAAGTCTGTTCCACCCCTGACTACTTTTGCTGTGGAAAGCTTCTCTTTTCATGTGTTTACCTTTTTTAAAGTTACCAATTCATCTGCTTCCACCACAGGTCAGGCAGCTCATTTCCAGACCATCACAGCTCTCTGCAAAAAAGTAAAGTGTCACATCTCCCATCTGGCTCTTTATTGAAACATTTTCTCCTTATGGTCTCTATTCAAAACCGTCATAATTTTGCACATGTCTACTAAATCTCCCTGACAGCCTTCCTAAATTGTGCCACCCAGAATCAAGACTCATTACTCCAGCTGAGGCCTAGTCTGTATTTGATAAAGGTTCATTCCAGTTTGGTTGATGCCCACATCAAAACTTTTTCTAACAGCGTGTAAACCCCTTTGGTGCACGTTGAAAATCTCCATCCTAAACCTGAATTGCCAAGTTCTTGTATCTTTTCTTTAGGCATATTGACTCAACCTGCTGAGATCCTACTCCAGGCCAGTGGTATCACGACTTAACAAGGTTAATGGCAGCAAATGTTACAGACATGAGTGTAATATGTTTTATTAATAAGTCACGTAACAAACTAATTACAAAGAATAATTGCAAACCTCACAACTTGCATACGCTATTTCCCATGTTGAGCCAAGATGATCAGTCTCAGTCTAGTCAGGTATGTCACTGAGTCCCTGACTCAATGTTCCTCATTCGAGTGTTGGTCCCAGGATTCTCGCTGATGGTCACTCTGAGAGTCCAACCCCCATACCTCTGCCTGTGCGACTTGTCTCCTCTGTATGAAATGACCCTAACTTCTTCTTGCTAACCAATTGTTTCTTGATTCAATGATCACCTTTTTAAACTCAATAACCCACCAGAACATTCTACGCTTTGTCAACCACGTATTGCAAAGCTGGCTCAGTGAATTGAATAAGATTTATACCAAGATCCACAAAACTAATGCCAAGTTCATTGGCAACACTACAGATTATAATATGGCCAAATACACCTTGTGACCTTAACAGCATTGGCAGCTCTCAGTAGAATACATATTGGTCCAATCCTTTTGCCTGTTGCTACAATGAATCTGGCAATTCAGTCTCTTCCCCAAAGATCACTGGTAATTTTTTGATTTGTATCTACCCTGCCTCAGCCAGTGACAGCCTTGCCTCCATTCTAAAAGTTTTGTGGGTTTAAGTTCCACTCCATATTTTGAGCACTTACTCCAATCTAACTCTTGTGGTTTTGGAGGCACCGTCTTTCAAATGAGATGATAAAGCAAGGGCCCAGCTCCTCTCACATGTAAATGTAAAACAAAAAATCCCTGGCACTATTGTGAAGAAGAATAGAACCGTTCTCCCCAGTCTCCTGGTCAATAATCATCTCTGAACAAAAAACAGATTATGTGGCCATTATTGTATTGTGTGTATGAGAGTGCACAAATTGGCAGCTAGTTGCCTAAATGACAATAGAGAAACACTTCATTTGTGAATAATAATTATTTTGAAACACTATTCAACATCATAAAGTTATAACATAGACTATAACTTTACAATTACATCAAGATATTATTTCTTCAACTATTGTGCTGGTGTGTGACCCATTAGTCATTGCACTGACTGGAGTGTACGCATTGTATTCTTGATAGAATACTCACAGGGCTGATACACCATAATGACATAATTTCCTGCTACATTGTCACGGGACTGAAGGATCACTGGGCTGGCATTTTGTAACTGATTGAGATCCCAGGGTTTGCTGCATGCTTTTTGGATTGTCAACATCTCTGGATGAACTGACCTTGCTTAGAACAGGTAACTCAAACCAGAATGGGCAGCATCTCCATCACATGTCGAATAGGACACACAACAGGGTGAAAGAGCATTCATCTTTTGGGCCATTGGAATCCTGAATTGACTGACAGTAAAAGAACAGGCTCAGGCAATTCAATGTGCTCCAATGAAGAGCCAACGCAGGCATGATGGGCCACATGGCCTCCTTCCAAACTATGCCTTTCTGTGGTTGCATAAAAGCATAACACAAGAAGATTGGCCCAAAGGCAAGTCTTATCAGCTTGTGACTAGCCTCAATGCATTTACCCCTTCACCTTTAATGCTTCACAGTTTCATTCCTGATAGTCCTAATTCTTCACCACTACCCAGAACTCTTCAAGTGATATTCAATCTGCAACTTTCAGTATTTAATTATTTTATCCATAAAACAAGTAATGGCTTTCAGTGAATGGAAAAATTCCTCTATGTGCACACAGATCTGTTTGATCATTTTCTCATGTCCTTGGATGTTTTGATGTGAAGCCAATTTCATAGATACACACCCCTTTGCATAAATGTCACAAAGTCATAGAGTCATAGAGTTGTACAGCACAGAAACAGACCCTTCAGTTCAACTCATCTGTGTTGACCAGATATCCAAAATTAATCTAATCCCATTAGCCAGCATTTAGTCCATATCCCTCCAATCCAGATGTTTTTTAAATGTTGTAATTATACCAGCCTCCACCACATCCTCTGGCACAACCCTCTGTGTGAAAATGTTGCCTGTCAGGTCCCTTTTAAATCTTTCCCCTCTCACCTTAAAACTCTGTAGTTTTGGACTCCTCTACTGTGGGGAAACGACCTTGGCTGTTCACCAATCCATGCCCCTCACGATTTATAAACTTCTATAAGGTCATCCCTCAGCCACCGACACTCCAGGGAAAATAACATCTGTCTATTCAGCTTCTCCCTATAGCTCAAACCCTCCAACCCTGGCAACAACCTTGTAACTCTTTTCTGAACCCTTTCAAGTTTCACAACATCCTTTCTATAGCAGGGAGACAAGAATTTAATGCAGTAATCCAAAAGTGGCCTAACCAATGTCCTGTACAGCTGCAATATGATCTTGCAACTCCTGTACTCAATGCACTGACCAATAAAGACAAACGCACCAAATGCCTTCCTCACTACCCTGACTACCTGCAACTCCACTTTCAAGGAACTATGAACCTACATCTCAAGGTCTCTTTGTTTTGCAACACTCCCCAGGAACTTACAATTAAGTGTATAAGTCCTGTCCTGATTTGCCTTGCCAAAATGCAGCACCTCATATATATCTAAATTAAACTCCATCTGCCATTCCTCGCCTCTTTGGCCAATCTGATCAAGATCCCATTGTACTCTGAGATAAGTTTTTTTGTTGTCTACTATACCACCAGTTTTGGTGTCATCTGCAAATTTATTAACCATACCCCCTATATTCACATCCAGATCATTTATATAAATGACAAAAAGCAGTGGACCCAGCACTCAGTCACAGGCCTCCAGTCTGAAAGGGAACTCTTCGTCACCACCCTCTGTCTCCTATCTTCAAGCCAATTTTGTAACCACATGGCTAGCTGTCCATGTATTCCATGTGATCTAACGTTGCTAACCAATCTACCATGTGGAACCTTTTCAAACGCCTTGCTGAAGTCCATCGCTCTGCCTTCATCAATCTTCTTTGTCACTTCCACCAAAAACTCAATCAAGTTAGTCAGACATGACTTCCCACGCACAAAGCCATGTTGACTATCCCTAATCAGTCCTTGCCTTTCCAAATACATGTAAATCCTGTCCCTCAGAATCCCCTCCAACAACTTACCCACCACTGATGTCAGGCTCACCAATCCATAGTTCCTTGGCTTTTCCTTACCATCTTACTTAAATAATGGCACCACGTTAGCTAACCTCCAGTCTTCTGGCACCTCACCTGTGGGTATCGATGATATAAATACCTCAGCAAAGGGCTCAGCAATCACTTCCCTGCCTTGCACAACATTCTGGGATACACCTGATCAGGTCCCAGGGTTTTATCCACCTTTTTGCATTTTAAGACATCCAGAACCTCCTCCTCTATAATATGGACACTTTTCAAGATATCACTATTTATTTCTCAAAGTTCTTTAGCTTCCATATCCTTCTCCACAGTAAACAGTCACTCGAAATATTTAGTATCTCACCCATCTCCTGCAGTTCCACACTTAGGCAGCCTTGTTGACCTTTAAGGAGCCCTTTTCAGTCCCCAGTTACTCTTTTGTCCTTAAAGTATTTGTAGAATCTCTTTGGATTCTTCTTAACTCTATTTGCCAAAGCTATCTCATGTCCCATTTTTGTCTTCCTGATTTCCGTCTACAGGATATCCCTACTGCCATTATACTGT